AGCGGCTGTGTGGGGCTTAGTTGCCAGTTGGGGTTAAACCACAACAACCACGCGGTGCATAAAAGGATGGGGAAGGAACAGTGTATAAACAGGGTCGCAGCAAATCTGCTTTTGTGAGACTTTTGTGATAGCAGGCTATTGCCAAAATTAGACAATGAACAAAGAAAGTCATTGGAGTCTTGAATTTCTGACACAGAAAAGAAAGGTTCAGCTATACCTTTAGAGCAGATAAAGTCATGAGCCGTGACAAACACTCAGCAGAGTTCCCGTGGTATCTAAAGAAGCCTCTCTCCAGCACACCTCTTTTAGTAAGGCTTGTAATTACGTCATCGTGGAACTGTGTGCCACATTTCCTTTATTTTCCACTCTGTGGATTGTGCCACAGTCATTAAAACACGGTTTTGAGGACTGAAACTTGTAACTCATTCTTTGTTTATGAGGTACAGAGTGCAGTGCTAATTATCATGCTAATTATCCCTCACTGATGGACATTTTTAGGTAACTGCAACCATTTATTGCTCTCTTTTAAAAATAAGTCAATCGTACAGCAAGGTCTGGGAAGCTAAAATTACAAGTTCTGTCTGAGCTGACTATGAGACACCAAAGCCACAGCTCACAAACTGCGGTGCCGAAGCAAAGGTCTGACGGAGGTGGTTAATTCACAGTGCAAGGCTACGGGCCCTACAGGGAACAAAACATTAGGCCTTTTGCACTTGCACAGACAAAATCTCCCTTGTAATTCAGGTACAAACAGGCACTCACTCCAGAATGGATAATGGAGTGATTTCATCTCTACTAGAATTAAAAAGGTTGAAATTTAACCTTTGATTTTTGTTTTTATTACAGTGCACACATGGCTAGATCATATTCTCCAAGGAGTGTATAAAGGGAGTAACTGCTCTGTCTTCTGAAATTCCATTGCCAGCAAGAGAAGAAAATACAAATGCACTGGCATGTTTACAAATGATGCCAGTGTATGTTTTATATTTGATTATTTCTCCCAATGCCAAGATTTTTTTTAAATGTAAGTTGCCAACACTGATCTTTACTTAGCATATTAAGAAGTAATATTTCTATCAGTATGCATTTTTCTAAACAAAACTAATGTGCAGATTATCATTGTGTATGAACATATGTATCTATGTACATATGTATCTATGTATGTATCTGTATGTATGCACAGATGTATCTATATGTATGACAATACTTGTATCACACGATTATTATGTTTTCCACACTTCAGTATCTGAAAGTGATCTTTCCATATGTCTGTTGTGATGTCTTGGGTATTCTATAAGTGCCACCTCAAGTGTCGCTAGTGCTTTCCCATGTGATGTGATGCAAGCGCATTTGGTTTATTCTTCATCAGAACGTGTTTATTTAAAAATATGTGGCTTTTCTACAATGTTTGACAATGTGTGGGCAAAAAAGCTTCACCTACATTCAGGTTACATGAATACTTATTGTTTAGCCTCAGAAAACAATGTATTAATGGAAACGCCCAGAAAGAAAACAAATAGAGGATCCAAAGCTCCCCAGAGCTCTCCACGTTTCTTGTCCACCTTGCTCTGAAAATAACCCCCTGGGTGGGCCTGAACCCCCCCCGCCCGCTCGAGTTACCGGGCCGTAACGGATACAGCCGCTTCTTGAAGCGCCTTCGGACCCCGGCCGCATGAACCTCTTCCCTTCGGGGAAGGGGGCGATGCCGCTTCCCCAGGCCCACGCTGCTCTGCAGAGGCCGGACCGGCCCGCACGGGTGCCCCCCG